AAGAGAAAAAGGCCAAAAAATGAGCAACTTGCTTTACAGAAACACGCCAGATCCAAAGTTTTTAAGACTGAAAATGCTTCAGGTCTGGGGTTTGCTTCAGCACAGCGCTGCTAAACTCTGCTGGAAGTTGCCGTGATGACGTCGGTTACCCTGGGAAATGGGTCCGAGGCCACGGGCTCACTCACCCTCAGCTCCTCCAGCTCTTTGACCAGGGACCAGCTGCTGATGAAGCTCTGGTTCAGCACAGCCAAGACGGGCGAACTTTCCAGGACGGTCTCCCGGAGAGTTCGCCCCGAACCTGCAGCAGGGAGAGAGAGTGTGTGGGGGGAGGAGAGGTGTCACTCACCCAGGTCACATCTAATCGAACCACATCGTCAATTCAAACCTAACAGATCTGATCACATGGCTCAAAATCATGCATTACATCTTGCCTTGCACATCATATCCTGCAAAATCCCTTAAGATCAGGAACTGCAATGCACTCCAGTGTGTCAAATCACAACTATCAAGCCCTAGATATATACCTTAGTAAGGATCTCAGTCTATTGTCTCTCACTTAAGACTTATTAGCTTGTTACTATTCACTTATATTTTCCATTTGGATTTTACTTTCTCTTCTGCAAACTCCCACTCTGCTCTCTGGCCTCATGTCTGCTGTGTAGAGCTGCTCTATCAGTGTCAGTGTCTCCTAACTCCCCCATCCCCTCCATCCTCCTGCTTCTGCCAGCCCACCTCAGCATGACTGGTCGTCCAAAGCCCCCCACAGCAGGATGGAGTGCACCAGCTTGTTCTCAGCTTTGGCCCTGTCAAAGGCCTCAAGGAAGGGGAGGTAAGACACCTGCAAAACAAGGCCGGGCGTTGCTCCATGAGAATGCGCCACAAATCAGACGGGCCGAGACTATAGGAGTGCTGTGTCCCGGCCTCTTCGTCATGCTGGATAGCTTTTTCACATGCAGAAGCAGTGCTGCTCTACAAACGTCAGTTATCCGCACGTTCAATCTCCTTGCTCACTCACTGTAGCAGCTTATTAGAAACCAAAAACAGATCCTTTGGGTTGCAGTCACTCGCCTATCTCCTCAGTGTGTGACATGGCCTGGCTGATAGCAGACATAATCGCTAAAGCCTAAAAATATATTTTTAGTCCTGATTCCAAACACCACCCCTGCTCTGGCAGTCTGAATTCGGGCAGCTGTCTGTACCTTATTTCTCTCCCCACTGGCAGCAGTAAGATGGGCTGAATAACACATAGCTATGTCCGGGCCCAAGAGAAACATCACTGACTGGCTGAAAGCTAGAGGTCTGAGACCAGGGAACGTGCCTTCTTGAAGGGGTAGAGGGTGACCTCCAGACGGCGGGCGGCCTCCTCTCTGCTGATCTGCGAGTGCCAGTGGATCTCCTCGAAGACGAACTGGACGGGCTCCCCGCTGGCGCCCCGGCTGTCTATGACGTTGCCCTCCTCGTCGTGAATGAAGGAGGGGATGGAGGGGCCCACGGCCTGCAGCTCCATCTGCAAGAGAGCACCCTCGCACATGGACCACTCATCATAATCAACAGACAGCCCCTCCACATACACAGCGCTTTTCTGGACACGCCACACAAAGCGCTCTACGGGTAATGGGGACTCCCCTCCACCGCCACCAACGTGCAGCCCAATCCTGCATGATGTAACGGCAGCCATGGTGCACCAGTACACTCATCACACACCAGCTATCAGTGCGGAGGAAAACAGAGTGATGAATCCAATTCATAGACAGGGATTACTAGGAGGCCATGATTGGTAAAGGCCAGGGGTAACTTTGGCCAGGACACTGGGGGGTAACACCCTACTCTTTTCGAGAAACACCCTGGGATTTTTTAATGACCACAGAGAGTCACGACCTTGGTTTTTACATCTCATCTGAAGGACGGCACCTTTTTACAGTATAGTGTCCCCATCACTACACTGGGGCATTAGGACTCACAAAGTCGGGTGGAGCAGTGGCACTGTGGCTAAGGATCTGTGCCTGTGGCTGGAAGGTTGCTTTTCACAGAAATATCAAAGCTTGAGAAATTTAAGTGTACATCTGACTAACCCTTCACTACACCTATTCATTTCGTGCCAGTAGCTCAGAGGTCCAGTACCTGGGGCAGGTAGCCAATGTCCACTTCCATATTGCTGCTCTCTGTGGCCCCATACAGCCACTCCATGTCCACATTCAGTGACCTGCAGGGAGGGGGGAGAGATGTCACAGCTTCAAATGGAATCCAAAACTTACCAGTGGGAAAAAAAAATCTTGTTTTTGTCAATCATTCTTTCTTTCTTCTTTCTAGAGTCACTCTCAATTCCTAAAACTGGTTCCCGTTTCATTACAGAAACAGTTTGAGCTGGCTGTTTCACCCACACACACAACAAAGTACCAAAGTCTGTCACTTTAGCAAAATGTAATGATGTCAGAATGTGACGCATTTAATTATCATGCAGAAAGATGCCTGGACAGCTCGGTCAGGGTTCAACCATTTCACTCTTTTAAGTGCACTGAAGCGTGCCGAGAAGAAACTCCGACACAGCACTGACCTGTTGTTGGGGACGTAGAGGTGAAACTCCCGGATGTGAGACGAGTCCTTGGACAGGACGATGTTTCCGGTGAACTGTCCCGGGGTGAACCAGAAAGGGAAGTCTGGGACGTCGTTCAGCTGAAACTCTGCGTGGATCCTGAGGCGGCAACAGAACACATCGTTCCTGCC